TGATAAATCAATAATAAATAACCATCATGTTATAGATGACACCAGGAAGTTAACTGAGGGCAGCAAGATGCCATCTGAAATAAAACCAGGATTCTTGACTTTCACTTGTGACTTCCCTATGGATTTTCATAAAGTATGAGAAGAGTAGATTTTCCAAGGTAGTTTTTCCTTTAATAAGTGTCAAATATCAATATAGTTCAGTTGATGAACTTGTGTAACATTTTGATTTGGAGTTTGGTTATCCAACAAAGATTGAAAAAATATAACCTTTAGTTATATATTTATGGCTTTTCTTTTAATAATTGTTACTCATTCTTTTATGGATTGTTAGTTTATTCTGAGTACTTCGAGGTTATAAATCTTCTGAAGTCGTGTTTACAGAAGGAGTTTATATGCTAAACACACACACACACACACACACACACATAAACACAGACACACATAAGCACAGACACACTTTTTTGTGTTTTGTTTTATACTTCTTGTAATAACAAAGTGTCATAAACTTAATTTTAATATTGTGCTTTCTCAGCTATGACAAGATCATAACTGTCTTTTTCCTTCTAATCAGAGACCTGGACTATTCTGTTTTTGTTTTCTTCTGTATGTATGTTTATTTTTCTTCTAACACCAAAAGCAGTTTTGTTTTTACAGTGAGGAGTGGTAAGGAACTGTAGAACCCTTACTGTTGGGGACAGCTAATATTCAGCTGGACGGTCAGGAGAAAAGGTAGGGCTCTGTGAGCTGTTAGTACATTGAAGTAGTTCCAAACAGGTTGACAATCAGCCATTGATCTAAGGCTGTTTCCACTGTCCTGTTTCACCAGCCCTCACCACACCCCACCACGTACATACCCAAGGATTCAGCAATTCAAAAACGCACTCTTAGCCAGAAGCTGTTAGGACCCCTCTAGCACTAATGCCAGTTAGATGGTACTGACTGTTAATTTTCTTTTTTTATTACTTTTTTTTTTTTTTAGCATCTTTCCTCTTATATGCCACAGTCAAGAACTTGAACTTTATCCTATAGAGTAGGGATTGGAAGTTCCAATAATTTCAAGGGTCAGGCAGGCCATGCAGAAATGAGTGAAACAAGTGATTATAAACAACAGAGAGAGATAGGAACCATTGTGAATTAGAAGCATTCAAATCAGTTTTCTAAAAATCCTGTTTCAACAAGTGAAAATGAATGGTACTGGGCCACCAGTACTCAACTTACTAGGATAAGCAGGGAGCTGTAGTTGTTTTTGTTTTGTTTTGTTTTAAACCAGAGGAATGATTTAAAACTTTTTTAAAAAGAACATTGCCCAGTGATTTGATAAACAGAGATCTTAAAACCAATGATATGAGACAGATTTTGTGCTGTACCAGTATGAAGATTGGACAAGACGCTGGCTTAAATTTACAGATTTTAGGCTAAGTAGGAAAATGAATTTTTCTCTGTGTAATAAAACAATGGAAAGGATTATTAAGCAAGATATATCATTTTCATTTAAAAAGGTGTAAGTACCTCAAGAGCAGTAGTAGAAGTTAAAACCACTGATTCTCTCAGAGAGAATGGTCTAGATCTGTGATCTGAAACACGGTTAACTTACACAAAATATTAGGTTGTCAGGAAAGTCATGATATAGTTTTCTATGTTTTTCTATGCAAAAATGCTCGGGACTTTCCAGACAACCTAATATTTTGGAGAAAAAAAATAAGACTGTGGGTGGTACAGTGGAGTGGAACAAATGTTGAAAACCCTTCAATGTCACTATGCAGGGATTTGTGTGATAACATTGTGTTGTTCATGTCTTCTCAATGATACTGAGTAAGTTTTATTCATTAACAAATTTATCGAGTATAAATACTAAGCACTAATTTTTGTATAATATTTAAAAGGATTTATATTTATTTGTTGAGGATTTCCTGTTTGCTTAGCACACTTCTAGACACTGGGAATAAAAGGGATAAATAAATAAGAGGGAACTTCAAAAAATTCATGGACACATGGAATGTACAAGTTTATTTCAGTGCAAAGAATTTTGAAATTCATGCACAGTTTTTTCAGAATATGCAATTTCCTCATACTTTTTGAAGGCCCCTCATTGAGCATAAAATAATCCCTGACCACCATGGAGCCTTCATCCTAGGTGAGGAGGCAAATGCACCTGAGGTAAATGCAATTATGGGAAACAAATATTGAGGGTGGATTGAGACTGGAGCACACTAGAGACTTAAAACAGGTAGGTAGGTAATATCTGAGGGAACCAGAGTATGTAGAAAGCTGATCACTGTACAAACCATGATGGGAAATATTCTTCATAGATCAGAAACTAACAGAATTTGGGATGGAAGGAATTTAAATGGGGATTATTGACAAGGGAAATTCACAATCACTAGAATGTTGTGAGTCTAGTGCACTTGTACAAAGTGTTGTGCTAGTTTGGATGAATTGAATTGGAGATACTAGTGAGACATCCAAGTATCACAATTTCCTTATATCATTATTTCTCAAACTTTGGTGGATGTCACCTTCAATTGGGGACCTTGATGAAAATGCAAAAATCCAGGCTAGATCCTTTTCCTTCTACCAGCCCAGGCCTTTGTGTTCTTACTAGCTTGCTAGATGATTCTGATACAACAACATGTGAGAATGACTGGTTTAGGTCATCAGAGATGCAAGTCTAGAAAGAAAGATTGAGCTTAGGGCTGGGAAGGTATATTTTGGACTTTCTAAAAAAGGTGCTAGTGTAATTGAAACTTAGGGATGGGCTTATTTGCCAAGCTAGTCAGTATACCATATGAATAGAAGATACCATATGACAATGAGTGGTCACTTATATGTAGTTGATGGGAAGATGAGGGAGAGCCTGAAAGAGAGAGACATGAATTATTCAACACAAAGGGAAGATTCAGAGAGCTCAGTTTCCCTTTAAACTAAAACGTGGGCTCTATAGAGACAGAACCTTCAGAGTTACCTTATAACTGGCACTATGCCCAGCACTTAATAGGTACTTAATCAATATTTGTTTATTGAATGAATCAATGCATCCATGAATGGCTAATAAGAAATTTTTAGGAGAATGTAAGTCATCATATCAAAAACAGTAGCAGGATGTCAAGAAGGCTGAAACCTAAGGGATTGCTAGTAGAGTTGGTCAGAAGGAAGCTATTGCTATAAAAGAAATGGGCAATTAAGTTCAAGCAGTGAGTTTAGACTCTGCAGTCATTTGTAACATTTATTCAGAGAGGCTGATGAGCAGTGTAATAGTGATAAGATATATATGTGCACATGTAATATAGCCATCTCTTTGTATCTGTGCATCCTGCACGTACAAATCAACCAACCACAGATAGAAAACATTCTCTTGTTGCTGATATATACAAAGTACTTAGGCCTACAGTGGTTGCATCTGTATGGAATATGTATAGACTTTTTCTTGTTATCATTTCCTAAATAATAGAATATAACATGTATTTATAGAGCATTTATATTGTATTAGATTTATAAATAATCTAGAGATGATTAAAGTATATGGAGGGGGCTGGCTAGGTGTGCAGTGGTAACATGCTGCTCAAGCAATACTGGATCTATGTGGAAGGTCACAAGTTTGGTTCCTGGTGGATCTGACACTTCACATATACACACCCATTATTTTAGATGACTGGGAAGGCTGGATGAGGAAGAGGGAATAATATTATTATTATTATCACTGAAAAAAATGAAAGTGGCAAATGGATTTTCCAGCCTACTAGAGACTTGTCCCTGGCATATTTTTGCCCTTGTCTATGTTCCATCCTTCTGAAAACCAGGGAACTAGAGTATGGGGAAAGCCAATCGCTGTACAAACCATGATGGAAGACACTTTTCATAGATCAGAAACTAATAGAACTTGGGATGGAATGAGATCCTGTTGAGGGCACTTTTCTTTATTTCAATGTCTCTTACTCTCCTGAAAGAAAAAGTAAACCGATAAAAGAATTTAAAATATAGGGCAGGGTATGTGAAGGTTGCATACAAATACTATGCCATTTTATATAAGCAACTTGATTATCCATGAACCAATCCCTTGCACATACCAAGGAATGACTATGTATATACACATGGCAGTGTGTGTGTGTGTATGTATGTATGTATGTATACATGTAGAGGTATAGATGCATAGCTATAGAGTCTTCATAGTGTCCTGTTGTTCTATTGATGTCCTACAGCTGTTTTCTTCAGGCTATGAATTTTGGGGTGAAATGTATCTCAGGAGTTTCACAGGTTGTAGAGGGCTATTTTCAGGAGGTTGGAACATAGACAAAGGCAAAAAGATGCCAGGGACAAGTCTCTAGTAGGCTGGATAATCCATTTGTCACCTTCAGTTTTTTCAGCGACTGTTCCCCAAGAATAGATGTAATTTCTAGAAATTGCATAGAAATATGAAATCCTATTTTAAGATTTGTTTAAAGCTTTTTAAATTCCAGACACATATTTCCTTTGAAAGGATAACCTTTATGTTACAAAGCAGAGATGCTTATTAGTCAGCTCCCTAGGATCTGTAGGTTCAGAGATGAAACGTCCAATCTTTCTCATAATTTGAAGTGTCATGCCCAACTGGCTGTTAATGAAGATTCATTTATCCTTTTTACATGGTTAAGTATGGTCTGTGAGGGATAGACTTCGCTCAGTCTACATGAATAGGACCCATTATCGCTAATGGAAGTTTTGCACATGCCTGTAGATGTGAATAGGCATTGAAATAATCTACATTTAGACTTTTATAATCACTTTTATTTAGCTGTCTGAAGATCTCAATGATGATCTCTCTTTGTCCTCAAATGCTATTTGACATTGATTTAGGTATCTGGTGATGGGTCTAAGTTGAAACTTTATCAGGTGTAAGTATTTCTTTCCTCTGTTTCAGCTGAGAAGTTTTGAGAGTGAAATATTCACAACCATTCTGAGACCTCCAATTTAATTTCTCATCATACTAGTTCTGTAGCTCACATTAAATCCAGAGTACTGAAGAAACTGAACAAGTTGACTGTAGACATCAGATAGCTGGCTATGGTGTTGGCCATGGCCTCTGAGGATGCTCAGAGCTTCTTCCAGCCTTTCTCTTCCTGGATATCTCGGGTTTATGAAGCTCTCCAGCAAGCAGGAGATACATTATCTGTATTGCTGGTTAACGTAAGCAAACAAGACTCTAAGTTAAATGACAAGCTAGATCAGGACCTAGAAGATATTCAGATTCAGGAAACTTACTTTGAAGATGAAGAACAAGACAACGATTGGAGTAAAGAAGATCCAAATTCCTTGTTTCTTGAAGTGGATCACTTCTCATGTTGTAATAGTGATTTGCAGGACTCTGCCCAAAATTCAAGCCCCAGGCTTAGCCATCATGCGAAAGACTCCTGTTCCATAATGTCCCAATGGCCCAATAAGACCCTTGATGACCAAAAGTCACCACATGTGCTTTCTTCAATTGCTGAGGAAGAATATCATCATGAAGAACAAAGAAGTGGCTTTCAGCACAGCTTTGACAGCCAGCTCCCTGGTACTGTAGAAAATGCTAATGGGAAAAACCAAGGTAAGCTAGCCAGTCATTGTTTTCTCTGAGTTCTTCCTAAGGGTATTTCTACTTATTTTATTTTGACTTAAAAAAATTATGAGTGTGTGCACACATGTAAGTACACCTGTGTAGGAGGAAGAGTGAGAGGTAGGTACTTTCAACACGATCTTTCCATGTGTGATCCTCCTATCTCAGCCTCTCAGTTAGCTAGATGTATAGGCATGCATCACTGTGCCCATCTTGTCAGGTTGACCTGAGATCTGATCCTGGGCCTCCCCTGTGGCCTAAGCCTCATACCAGGGCACCTTACCAATTGAGCATTGCAGTCAGATCCTGACTTGTTTTTAGTAATTATTAATAGATGGATTTTATTTTTCTCTGTCTTATACCTTCTCACTTTCTGCCTCTGCTTGAAAGCTGTCATCCTTAGGAATATTTCCAGCTATAAAACTTTGGGAGATCTGTTTGTGGGTTCCATCTTCTAAAACAATAGTTCTGAGCAAGTGAAATGATGAAAATGAATCTGTGGATTCTGCTTGAGAAGCCCCTTGTGCACATGTCATGCTTTTTAAAATATCTTTAAAATGTTCTCTTTTTCTCCTCTCTTAGGAATTTCTAGATGTTACTATATTATTCAGTGTGAAATCCTGTGCAAAAAGCCATACTTCTTGCAGAATTTTTAGTTGATAACACTCCAAGAACACTTCTCACAGTGTTTCTCTGAGACATGATGTGAGATGACAGTAGATAGGAAATCTTTGAAATAAGAATAGCTTGGTTTTCTTTTAGTCTGGAATGGCAAAGGCACATTTGATAGAAACTGCCTATAAAGCTTTATGCTGTCAAAATGGAGTATATATTGGGTCTTCAATACATGTATAATGAATATGATAAAAATGTAATTAACTCCATAAAAGTAGCGATAGTGTGTTTCAACATGAATCTCTCATGCTTTTAATATTCTAACCCTGAACTGAGGACACTGTACATAAGTTAAGGGACAGAGGTAAATGATATCCAGGAAAGGAGGGTGGGTATGTGTGTGTTGTAAAGCATCCATAGCAGGGAGATGCAGAGAAGGGACTGAATCTGTGTGTGTGTGTGTATATAATGTATACACAGCTCACACTGATTAGTGGATCGTTTATGTGATATAAACGCCAAGTCATTAATTTCCTTCTTATTGGCGAGAACAGACTTTTCTGGAGTATCTCATAGTCTCTATATCCATTTTTAGTAATTCATCTTAGCTTTATATTTTTAGGGAAGTGTTTTACACAGACACATAAAGTCTTAGAAACATAATTTCATATTCCTCTTATGCTTTCTTTATATTCTTACTCAAATTAAAGTAATATTCAAATGCTGGGATAAGTCTGTAGAACCGAGGTAGGCTGATATTCTTTTTGACTCTTGTAAGTTATAAATAATTGTAATCTGAGTCTTCAGAAATTATCTATAGAGATAAATTGAGAAATATCTGAGCTAGCACTACAATTTTCTTAGATTTGAGTAGAATTTTTTTTTTTTTTTTAATTCTGGCCAAAGTTGAACTGTATTTGAAATTAGTGATGCATATTTGGCTTAGTTAGATGCTCAACACTGGTTTTAGTTTTTGTAAGTGTGAAATCTAATGGCAGTAAGACAATTGTGTTCATTGGTCCATTCAGCAGTTTATTCACTAGACTGTATCCTCCTGGAAGGCAGGGCCTGTGTCCTACATTCGTCACAGATCCATGTCCATATCCTTCAAAGGGACTGTGGTCTTGGCTATGTGGTAGGACATCAAATAATAATTAATGATGGCACAACAGCAGAGCAGCTAACAACTCTTAGAGGTAAATACTATTCTTCTCACATTGCAGTTGAGAAAATTGTTATTCAGTGAGTTTGAGAATATACCCAAGACCCATTTTTAGTAAGAGGCAGAACTTAGGCAGCCTGATGCTAAAGTTTACATACATTAGGTCATTGGGAAAGTCATGATAGATTTTTCCATGCAAAAATGCATCATAACTTTCTCGACAACCCAATATATACTCTCTCTTTTTCCTTTTTGAAGGTACAATACATATTCAGTAAAATTCATCCCTAGCATTCCGTTCTTTGATTTTTAACAAATAGGTATAGTCTTGTGACCGCCACCACCACAATCAAGATATTAAACAATTCTATTACCTCACAACCACCACCACCCCACCCCCACCCCGTGGCCTTGTAATTCTCTTTTGCTAGTTCTTTTCCTACTTCTAGCCCCTGGCAAATGCTGATATATTTTCTGTCTCTATTGTTTTAACTTTTCCAAATTGTCACATAAATGGAGTTATAAGTTTGTACCATTTTGAGTCTCTCCTCTTTGAGTAGCTTTAGTAGTTTAGCTTTTTATTTTTTTTTCTTGAGAGGTTTTTGCCATAGACCTCTCTGGAAAGACAGAGAGACAGAGAGAGAGAAAGTGAGAAATCACCCCCCTACCCCCAGAGGGATGGCCATGCCACAATCCCTTTCTCCACCATTCTTCTCTTGAGATCTTGGGCATGCACACACAAGCACCCGGCGTGAGTTTAAGCCACTGGGTCCAAGATTTGAACCGCGGTCAACTACATGAGAGTCCAGCGACATAGCCATTACACCAACTGCTGGTCCCAGTGGTTTACCCATTGTATTGCTGAATAATATTTCATCATCAAAATGCAGTGATTCAGTTGATCTGTTCATCTGTTGAGAAAGCTTTCTCGGCTGTTTACACTGGATAAAACCTCTGTGATTATGTGGAGTAAGAGCGGTAAAGGTAGCTATCTTTGTCTTCATCCTAAACTTAGTGTAAAAGCTTTCAGTCTTTCATTATCACTTAATAGTTAGGTTCAGGTTTCTGTAGATGCTCTTTATTAAGTAGAAAATGTTCTCTTCTACTCCTACTTGCTGAAAGTTTTTTTTTTAAGTCAAGAAATGGCTGTTGAGTTTTCTCAAGTACTACTTTATATCTATTGAAATTATTTTACTTTTTTTTTTTTTCCCTTTCCTTTTTCTTCTTTTTAAGACAGAGTCTTGCTGTGTGAGATCCTTGTACCACAGCCTTCAGAGTGAAGGGCGAGATCCCGGCACATGCTGCCATGCCTGGTTATTTCAGATAGGGCCTGGCTCTTTTGCCCAGGCCAGCCTTGAACTCTCTAAGTTATATTTTATCTGCATCCAACAAATGTTAAATTTTTTAAGTGTTGTGTTTTTATTTTCATTTGATTGAAAATATTTTCTAATTTTCCTTTTACTTCCTCTTTCATGCATTGGTTATTTAAACATTTGTTGATTAGCCAAATCTGAGGGAAATTCTAGCTATTTTTTCTTGTTTTAATTTCTAGTTTAATTCCATTACGTTTGAACACATACTTTGTATTATTTTAGCTAAAAAAAACTAATTAAGGTTTGTTTTATTTCCCTGAATGTGTTCTGACTTGCTGAATGTTTCATGCACACTTGAAAAGACTGCATTCTATAATTATTAGACAAAATATTCTATAACTTCAAGTTCTTGGAGGCCGATTTTTAGATTTTTTTTTTGGAGAGGTTTTTGCTATAGGGCATGTACACCCACCAAAAAGACAGAGAGAGACAGACAGAAAACAAGAAATCACCCCCCAACGGGGGTGGCCATGCAGCAATCCCTTCTTCTCCATTCTCCTCTTGGGATCTTGGGCAAGTATGCACACGCACCCGGTGTGTTTTAAACCACTGGGTCTGGGACTTGAACTGCAGTCGGCTACATACTAGTCCAGTGACACACCATTATGCTTACTGCTGGTCCCTAGATTTTCTAATATAGATTGAATAGTCCTTATCTAAAAAGCTTGGGGCAGCAAGCGTTTTGGATTTTGTAATATTCGCATATATATTATGAGATATCTTGGGCAGGGGACCCACATCTGAACATGAAATTCATTTATTTTTTATATACTTATTCACATAGCTTGAAGCTAATTTTATACAGTGCTTTTGCATTGCAGCCTTTTGAGTATGACATGTCACGTGAGGTCAAGTGTGGAATTTTCTACTTGTGGCATCATGTCAGGACTTAAAAAGTTTTGAATTATGGAGCATTTAGAGTTTCAGATTTGGGGATTGGGGTACTTAATCTGTATTTAATTTCTCTCTCTCTCTTATTTTGCCTATTGATTTTTGCCCACTGATTTTGTTCTTTTGAACAGAATTGTGTTTCTCTCTACTGAAAGAGTATTAAAGTCTCTCACCCTAATGGTGGGTTTGGCTATTTCTCTTTTTCATTTCTATCAGTTTTTGCTTCATGTAGTTTGAAACTCTGTTGTTAAGTACATGCACATATTAAAAACAGATGTCTTCTTGGTGAATTGACCTCTTTGTCTTTTTGTAATACACCATTTTTGGCTCTGATAGTTCTTATCTTAAACTCTACTTTTATACTAATATGGCTACTTAAGCTTTCTTTTGATTAGTGTTGGCTTGTGTTCTTTTCCAGTCTTAAACTTATTCTGTATTAATGGTTGGTTTCTTATACTTAGCATATAATTGGCTATTTCTTTTTAATCCAATCTGTCTCACTTTTAATGGGTGTGCCTTAACTGTATTTAAGTAGTTACTGATATCATTGAATGAAAATCTGTCATCTTGCTAGTGCCTTTTCTGTTTGTTCTATCTAGTATTTTCCTCATTTATTCTACTTTTTTTCTGCTTTTCAAACAATTGAGCATTTTATGATTTCATTTCTTCAGTTGAAAGTCATTTTAAAAAAGTACAGTGGTAATCTTTGGATTTTGACATACATCTTTTAAAAAAAGTTTGTTTCTTTCTTTCATGAGTGAGAGACAGAGAAAAACAGATACCCCCCAATTTTTGAAGATCCCTTGTAAATTTTTTTGTTCATTTTTATTGTTTCTTTACTTATTTTATGAGATTGAGAGACAGAGACAAGACAAGCACCACCAATAGGATTTTACATCATGGCCGGTCTCACCTATCCCCAACCAGCCTTCCCATCCAGCCAATATTAT